AGCAGCCGTTCTCCGTGGGGTGCTGGATGGCTTGTTGATGGAAATGGTGGATGAGGGACAGTCCAGTTTTTCTTCTTTGACACACCTGGAGGCACCATGCAGAAGTAACAATTGCTGGTATGATCTGTTGGCTCTCTCTCTCCAAATCATTGGCACTGCAAAAGGCATAGATTTCCTTTTCCTGTTCAACCACTGGCGAAGATTTGTTGCACAAGTGTTGCAGCATATGTGTGGGGCCCACCTCTTGTCCTGATCTCCAATTTTGCAGCCAAAATAAAGGTAATAGGCTTTCTTAACCATAGTGGTTATACTGCGCTTTTGTGATGCAAAAGTCACTTCACCACAAACATAGCAGAAGTTATCTGCACTGTTCACACAAGTCCGAGGCATCTCTGCTCACTTTGGCTAAACAGAAATGTGCCCCTTTGCAAAATCAAACACTGACAAATAAGAGAGCACGACAATGTATGATTTCTAGAGCTGATAAAGGGCAATCTGTTCAGCAGAGTGATGTAAGCTTCATTATGATTGCATCACCCATGACTTCTAGGAATAACATGATGCAATTCATATCATGTATGACGCAATACCAGCTTCAGATTGCATCATTCATTGTTTTGCCTAAAAAGCAAGTACTGTCCAAACCCAGTCATAGATTTATTCATAGATCCAGTCAAAGATGTATTTTAATCATTTCTGGTTTAAATTGAGATCCCTTCCCTTTATAACTCACTTATCCTCCTCCATTCCCAAATCAAGGGTCGTATATACTGACCCAATAGCATATCTTGAAAACTAGAGCCAATCAACAATTTTAAGCACCATTTTCGTTCTCAGTGACCCAGAATTAGTAAAGTTTGACTACATTTATTTCAGAAGCATTTTGGCTGTACAGCAGTGTTATCAGAAGAAAGCACTGAGACACTGATGAATAAGAATGATGATTTGATTGTATTAGTTCAAGAATTTCTCACAATGGTAACTATCACAGCAAATGATACTGAACAGCAGAAGTACATCTTATCAGGAAAATGCGGATGTGGTTCAACCAACATTTTTGGTTAAGTTATTTAGTGTTATTTTAAATATTGAACAAATAATATAGGGCCAGATCACTCACTCCCATGGAAAAAACCACAAGAGGCAGTCTAGAAGGAGAAAAACTCTGCCCATGGATTTTTGGGGAATCCGTTTAAAGCCAGGCCTTGTAACTCTATGCTGCCTCCTGGTTTCTTATCTCTGGTGACGATGAGCAGGGCTTCCCCTACCAGCAGCTACCTTGAACCCAGTTTTAAAGGAGAATTTGAAGATTGGAGCAGAATTCCAAGGCCAGAGGTACTGGTGAATTGATGTGGAGCATCCCTCACAACCCTCCTTCTTCCTGTGATTTTTGTCTACTCCCAGTTTCACTCTTTGCTGTTCAGTTTAACAGGAGACAAGGATAACATGAATGCAAAAGTTGGTAACACTCTAGGAAGCAGGGGCAACCTATTGAACATAAAAGCTAAACTAGAATCTGAAAAGTAATGCTTCATAAACCAGGTTTTATGTGCCCCTTCTTAGTTTATGAGTATCTCACCATGAGAATGAATAAATATTAATGGAGTTGTGGCACTGGAATCTTCATACACTTCTTTCAAGTTAATCCCTCCAGTCTGAAGATATCTGGCTCCTAATTTCTCAATAACAAACTCTCGTATTGCACTATTTAAACTTCCTGGTCTGAGAATTTTAATCTAACAATAAAATATGAAAGATGAGAGAACAAATTCATCAAGTCATTTAAATTAACATTAGCATAATAATTATGCCTGTGATAAAAATAAAGTCAGGTTGTTTTGTACTATACAGTTCTAAAAGTTTCCAAAATCTCAACATTTGTGTTTTACTTAACCAATATTAATACCACTAGGTCATTGTATACCTCTCACTTTACATGAATCAAAAGATATCTACATGGGAAAGTAAAGTACTTATCAGGTAATATGGGAAGAAGTGCAATAAAATCAGGACTAGGAGCTGAAAAGAAGGTGAAAGACATGTTATTTACCCCATGGTAACTGTGGTTCTTTGAGATGTGTTTTCACACAGATTCCACTCAAGTTGTGCATGTGTCCGTGTGTGAGATTGGATTCGTTTGGATAGCAGTGTCCCTTGGGGTTGTACCTGTACTCTGAGATCCCTTGTGACCACCACAGCTGAGGGCATAAAGGGCAGGGTGGCCTCAACAGCCACTCGGTTCCTTTGCCAACAAGATTCACAAGAGAACAGGACTCTGATTATCTGGGATGGAGGGTGGCTTGCAGAGTGCTGGAACAATTTGTGTAGTGGGGGTGCTGAGAACCACTAAATATAGACAGAAACACACCTGGATAACCTCTCTGTGGACATAGGCTGACCTCTGACTTTTTCTGGGAAAGCCATAAATGGTCTGGGGGAAGAAGTGAATAACTTTGTTCCATTTAAGTAAAAGGATAAAGCTCTCAACCTTCTTTAGTATGTGCTGTTTTATTTTGCCTGGGTTGCAGTGAGGTTTTGGGGAAAAAATGGGAGATAGATTAATTGATTGAGATGCACTGATTGATTGAAACTACCTTAGACAGAAATTTGGGATGAGGCCTAAGGATTACTTTGTCCTTATGGGGACATGAGGGCCTGTATTTTGCTGACTTTTCTAAGCTGAGATAATGGCCACCAGAAAAGGTGTCTTCATTGACAGATGACAGAAGGAGCACATCGCCACGGGTTTGATGGGAGTGGTCAGGATAACGTGGCAAGAGTTCTGTTTCCACTTTCTCAAACTCTGGAAATTAAGTGAGTTGGTGAAAAGGTGAAGAACTGATTTAGCACTCAGGGGAAAAGAAAGGTGTCAGCGAGCCTGGGTTTACATCCCTTCAGGAGCAAAAAAACATCCAGCAGTTGCTGTTCCTATATGATGTGAACAAGACCACAACGGTAAATCCCCACCTGATTAATATGTTGTGGAAAATGGAATTGGGGCCATTCATGGTTCTCTGAAAATGATCTGCTGAGTTGGACTGCCAGAGTGTTCTGGAGTTGGAGAAGTATCTAGCACTGTGCTGATGAACTCTATGGTTCGAGTTGGGGTCACAGTGGACTTTGTCCTTGTTGACTCTGAGGCACAGAGATGCAAAGACCTGTAGAGTTACATGAATTGAGTTGAATATTTGCTGTGGGGATCTTCCTTGAACTAGCTAGTCATCCATATATAGACAAACTTGTATTCCCAGTCTGTATAGATGTGCAGCCACTATGGCTAGCAACGTGGTAAAGATCTGTGGGGACATCAAGAGGCTCAAGGGTAGGATGGAATATGAAACACTGAATAATAATCTTGTTGAGGCACTGGATGCCCAGATCCCTTTCTTCTTTGGAATTAGGATGTAATGAGAATAAAAGCCCTTTCTTCTGAATTCTAAGGGTATTTCCTACTTCTTGCCTCACCAGCATCTTGTGAGAGGGATTCTTGAAGAGAGACAAGGGGTAGCGGGGTAGGAACTGTCTAAAACTGGATGGAATACATTGGTTACTACAGGGGTGGCCAACCTCTGGCTCCGGAGCCACATGCGGCTCTTCAGAAGTTAATATGCAGCTCCTTGTATAGGCACTGACTCCGGGACTGGAGCTACAGGCACCAACTTTCCAATGTGCTGCGGGGTTCTCACTCAACCCCTGGCTCTGCCACAGGCCCTGCCCCCACTCCACCCCTTCCCGCCCCCTCCCCTGAGTCTGCCATGCCCTCGCTCCTCCCCTTCCCCCCCAGAGCCTCCTGCACGCCACAAAACAGCTGATTGGGAGGTGCGGAGAGGGAGGGGGAGGCGCTGATCAGTGGGGCTGCTGGTGGGTGGGAGGCGCTGGGAGCTGATGTGGGGCTGCTGACATATTACTGTGGCTCTTTCGCAATGTACATTGGTAAATTCTGGCTCCTTCTCAGGCTCAGCTTGGCCACTCCTGGGTTACTATATTCAGAAGTCACCGATCTGAAGTTATCCCATTCTCGGCTTTTTGAAAGAGGCAAAATCAGTTTCCAAAAGATGTGACAGAAGCATCCACAGGTAGTTTGAGCAGGCTCTTGATACTTGTGTCAAAACTGTGGGACAGTCAAGGAGATGGTGAAAGGGTGATACTTGTGGAATCTCTGTCTACCTCAAAGGCTCAGAAAGTCACTGCTGAGAGTAGTACAGGTTTTGTGGCCTTTGCCTGTAGCAAGGCTGCTGCCTCAGAGGCTGTTTCCCCTGAGAAGTAGGGACCTATAGTGCCTGGAATCGCAGGTCACTCAAATGTCCTTAGGTCTGTGAAGAACCTCATCAGTAGTGCTGCTGAAGATCTCACAGCCCTTGAAAGGAAGGTTTGCTATAGTCATCTTGACCTCCCAAAGGATCCCAGATGCCTGTAGCTATGAAGAACATCTCATGAAGATGGCCATGGTCACAGTCCTTACTATTGTGTCAGAAGCAATAAGAGTGGCCTGGAGGGATGTTCTCACAGTGAATTGGTCTTTGGTCATAAGGATCTTTAACTCCTCCTGATGATCCTTAGATAATTTATTGAGGCGGTTCGAAAGACTGTCCCAGAGAAGAATTCATATTTAGACAGGAGTAAGGTGTTGCAGTTGGCCACTCTCATTTGAAGTCTCATGGAGGAGTATATATTATAAACATACAGGTACAGTTTCTTAGATCCTTGTTGCAAGGAGTGGTTTTGAAGGACTCTTGCTATTTTGACCTCTCTTGGGCTCCTTGCATGACCAGTGAACCTGGGCTTGAGTACTGAAATAAATATACCATACCCTTTGTTTGGGCCTCTGATCTGTTCACTTGGAGATCGCCATTACTGAATTGGGAGCATGCCAAAATGCTTTTGCGAGTTTGAGAATGCCATTGTTTATGTGCAGTGCTAGGCTACCAGGTGTTGAGGAGTTAAGTATGTCAGTAATTTATGCTAGTTCTCCTGGATTATTTCTGGTGGAATATCTTGAAATATTCATCCTCTGAGGTCAAAGAATGTGGAGGTCTTCTAGTTTTGTCATCCTTGACATCATGCAAAATCACCTATTTGTGGCAACTCAGACTCACAACTGGGAATTAATTTATAATTTGGAAGAACTGGGCAAGCAGAGGCATCATATGCATCTCCCAATTAGTCAATGATGAGGATTTATTCACTTTTATAATGCTAAAGCAGCATTATGACCTGTGACCATCAGCAGAGTGGCAGAACTTACAACTAAGACACTCGCTAACATATCAATTTGGTTCAGATGCCCTGGGGCTGCCAGAGGCTCCAGAATACTGGGAGCCTTAGAAATGCTTCATAAACTCCCCAGGCCTACGTCCACTATATATACTTAGTTAATGAAGAGGACCTCCATTACTTAGATTTTCGGAAAGTCTTTGAGAAGGTCCTTCACCAAAAGCTCTTAAGCAAAGTTATCTGTCATGGGAAAAGAGGGAAGGTCCTCTCATGGATTGGTAACCGGTTAAAAGATAGGAAACAAAGGGTAGGAATAAATGGTCAGTTTTCAGAATGGAAAGAGGTAATTAGTGGTGTCCCCCAGAGGTTTGTACTGGGACTGGTCCTATTCAACATATTCATAAATGATTTGGAAAAAGGGATAAACAGTGAGGTGGCAAAATTTGCAGATGATACAAAACTACTGAAGTTAGTTAAGCCCCAGAGAGACTGCAAAGAACTACAAAAGGGTCTCTCAAAACTGGGTGACTGGGCAACAAAATGGCAGATGAAATTCAGTGTTGATAAATGCAAAATAATGCACATTGGAATACATAATCCCAACTATACATATAAAATGATGGGTCTAAATTAGCTGTTACCACTCAAGAAAGAGATCTTGGAGTCATTGTGGATAGCTCTCTGAAAACGTACACTCAATGTGCAGTGGCAGTCAAAAAAGGAAACAGAATGTTGGGAATCATTAAGAAAGGGCTAGATAATAAAACAGAAAATATCATATTGCCTCTCTACAAATCCATGGTACACCCACATCTTGAATACTGCGTGCAGATGCGGTTGCCCCATATCAAAAAAGATATATTGGAACTGGAAAAGGTTCAGAAAAGGGCAACAAAAATTATTAGGGGTATGGAACGGCTTCCGTATGAGGAGAGAGATTAGTAAGACTGGGACTTTTCAGTTTTGTAAAGCGACGACTATGGGGGGGATATCATTGAGGTCTATAAAATCATGACGGGTGTGGAGAAAGTAAATAAGGAAGTGTTATTTATTCCATAACACAAGAACTAGGGGTCACCAAATGAAATTAATAGGCAGCAGATTTAAAACAAATAAAAGGAAGTATTCAGACAATGCACAGTCAACCTGTGGAACTCTTTGCCAGAGGACATTGTGGAGGCCAAGACTATAACAGGGTTAAGAAAAAAATAGCTAAATTCATGGAGGATAGGTCCATCAATGGCTATTAGCCAGGATGGGCAGAGATGGTGTCCCTAGCCTCTGTTTATCAGAAGCTGGGAATGGGCGACAGGGAATGGATCACTTGATGATTACCTGTTTCATTCATTCTCTCTGGGGCACCTTGCATTGGCCACTGTCGGAAGACAGGATACTGGGCTAGATGGACCTTTGGTCTGACGCAGTATGGCCATTCTTATGTTCTAGTCTGGAGTTCTTTGTGAAAGTGAGGGAAGGGGATTTATCACAGCCCTTAAAAGAATCTCAATGGCCGAGCATATTA